AGTGAGCAACTTCTTTGTGGGGGTTGTCTTAGGGTAAATAATTGGGAAAATAGCACATGACATTTAGTATGTTTCTCATATCCTTAGCCTTAAATAATGCAATTACTCAATCACGAAGAAAGGACTTTTAGCGATTGTATTTGTTTTTGATAAATTTAGATATTATTTACTTAGGTCAAAGGTTATTATTTATTTTGACCATGTAGCATTGAGATATCTCTTGTCCAAAAAGAAAGCCAACCCACAATTGATTAGGTGGATCCTCCTATTCTAAGAATTTAATTTAGAGATTAAAGATAAGAAGGATGTAGAGAATTCGAGTGGTTAATCATCTCAATTGAATAGTGAAGGAAAATGATGCAATAGCATTACATGAGTTGTTCCCGGATGAATAGCTTCTAATATTTCAAGGTAAGGATCCATGATATATTGATATTATGAACTATTTGATGAAATATGAAATACCTACTGGTCTCAATAGGGCTCATGGAGATAAAATAAAAAGTGATGCCAAGTATTATTTATGGGATGATCATTACTTATGGAAATGTTATGCTGACTAAATAATTAGGAAGTGTGTGCCCAAGCATAAATTTGAGTCAATCTTAACATTTATCATGCACATGCTTAAGGTGGACATTTTGAGCCCAATGGAACTACTAGGAAAATACTCAAATGTGGCTTCTATTGGCCAAGTTTGTTTTGTGATTCATATATATTTTGTAAGGCATATGAACAATATATAAAAAAAGATAATTTTTCTAATAGAAATGAAATACCCTATCATTACTCGTAAATTTTTTTATGTATGGGACATTGATTTCATGGGACCTTTCCCCTTTTCATTTTGTTTTATGCATATTATCTTAGTTATGGATTATGTGTTTAATTGGGTGAAAGCCAAAGCCACCCAAACTAATGATGCTAAAGTTGTTATGGATTTTATCAAAACTAACATTTTTTCCAGATTTGTAACACCAAAAGCATTGATTAATGAAATGGGTACACATTTGTGCAATCATATGGTAGCAAATTTACTAAAGAGATGTCATGTTACACATAAGGTATCCACGACTTATCATCCATAAACAAACGAGCAAGCTAAAATATCAAATTGAAAGATTAAATCAATCTTAGAGAAAATAATAAACCCAAACAATACAGATTAGAGTGAGAGACTTAATGATGCTCTTTGTGCATATCAAACAACCTTCAAAACATCGATTGGCATGTCCCCCTACTGTGTGGTTTATGGAAAGACCTATCATCTTCTGATGGAGATTGAATACAAAACCTTTTAGGTGATCAAATAATGTAACATGAGAATAGATGAAGTAGAGGAACAAAGGAAACCGCAACTACAAGAGTTTGAGGAGTTGAGGCTTGACTTTTATGGGAATGTGAACATCTACAAGGAGAAAATAAAGATATGTCATGATAGGATAATTGCTAGAAAGACTTTTGTTATAGGATATAAAATCCTCCTCTTTCATTCTAAACTCAAGCTTTTTTCGATAAGCTACGTTCTTGATGGGTTAGGCCTTTTGTCGTCCCTAGTGTGTTTTCTCATGATATAGTTAAAATATAAAGCTGGCATACTAACAAGGTATTCAAAATGAATGGCCATCGATTGAATCCCTTCTATGAAGGATTCCAAGTAAAACAAAAAGAGGTAATGATATTAGAGGATCAACTTTATAAAGACTAAAGATACTAGCGTCGAGCCAACGACGTTAAATAAAAGCACTTATTGGGAGGCAACTCAATGATTTGTATAAATTTTATGGCTTCTAATTAAGGCTCATTTTAATTTTTTTAATTTTTCTTTGAATGCCCTATGGTTGACTTGATTTAGAGGAGTTTTGTAGTAATAAGTGAAATTTAATAAGTTAAAGGAAAGAAAGGCATACCCTCGTATATGTATGGTTGGTTAGAAGTTCAAGCAAAAACAAGAGATCCAACACGAGTTGTGACCAAAAACATGATTTGCGGTTGAAAAGGCATGCTCATGTATGCTTTATGAATAAAGAAAGGAAAAGATCATATGGGCGGTGGCCTTACACACGGGTTACCTATCAATGATGACACACCCGTGTGGCACCTTTGCATTTTGTAATTTATCCTAGTGACAAAAGAACACGGGCGGTAGGGCATCTACATAGTTTACAAGAGGGAATCCATATGACCATATCGGTGTTAAGCTTATATATTGGCAAGAAAGAAAGGAGTGAGACATGACCAATAGCATTTGACATGGTTTATGCAACAAAGGCACACGATTGTGTGTCGTAGGCTTCTCTTCTATCTGCAACCTCAAAGTCTCATTTGATTGCTAAAATTCTAGATTTGTTTTCTTAAACTTTACCTCTTAATTTTATTTTGATCGACTATGTTACACATTGAGGACAATGTCCAATTCAAGTGTGGGGGTGAGTTTAGCATTTAGGTTTTTGTTATTTTTGTGATTATTTGTATGTTTATTTTATACCCCTATAAAAAAAAATGAAACAAATGTCATGTTTAGTATAATGTTCTTCTTAATTGATATTTATTATAGAATTTGATGAGATAAATGACAATATTTGAGATATTATTATTGTAGATATGCATGCATGCTAAAAAGCTTTATGTATTTTCATGATGGAATATAATTTAGGTAGAAATACCGACTTTGCAAGAAAAAAAAACCTTTGGAAACTAGACCTAAGCATGATTTAAATAAATGATATTTTTTTTTAGAAAGAAATATGAAAAAGCATTTCATTAGCAAACTTTTGGGATAAGTAATTAAAAATTCTTTTCCAATGATTTAAGTTGCTTAGTAACTAAGAGTATTCATAAAAAATATTTACTTTTATGTCAAATGACAATTCAAATTATGAGTATGTAAAGTATTCAAGGTTAATGACTTGCTAAGTAACTCGGTTGTCTTCATCACAAATATCGATAGTCGCATCAAAAGGCAAGTGATTACTTAAGAAATAGCTATTAAGGCCATAAAACAAAAAGGAATTTGAGATGCTTGAAATGAAAAAAAAATTATTAAAGAAAATTTTAGTTTATTACCTTGGTTGTAGTGGTGGAAAAGGGGTAAAGATAGAGTTGGTGTTGCATGCATGAATTATGTTTGATTATGAAGATGCATAAATTAATTTAGAGACATGCATTGACATGATAATAATATCTTGAACATGATCAAGTTAACTGTTGAATTTTGTTGAATTCTTGATTGAGTATTAATGTTTGAAGAACAATTATATTGGCATGACATTTATTTGAACGATTTTGTGGGTTTATCATCTAAAAACCCTCAAAAGACATAACTTGTTCATCGAGGGTAACCTAGGGGTTTAAAGGCTTGTTGTAGTGCTAAATGTAACTACAATTTCTATGAAAGTTAGTTAGGTTTTATTTTATTTATTTTGCTCAAGGACTAATAAAGTTTAAGTGTGGTGGTATTTGATGAGTGTATAATTAGGTTGATTTTTATGTTGTAATTACATTGAACTTTCTAGTATTTATTATATTATATTATGTTATTTAACAATAAGATGATGGTTTTGAGTTTTATAGAAAAATGATGAATCGGAGCAAGAAAACCCAAGACCAAAGCAAGAAAGAGAAAAGTCACTAAAGAGGCTTAAAAGAGTCATACGATTGTGTGAAATATCAAAGGAAAAGCTACTAGCCATGTGACATGAGGAAGAAAATGATGTGTCTCATAAGAAAGAGAAGCCACATGGGTAGTAGCATTCCACATGTCTAGAGAAAGAAATCCCATACGATCGTGTATATGTCTCGGCCTAGCAAACCCTCGGAAAAAGAAGACCACACATGCAGAAGGTATTGCACATGATTTATAGTGTAAAGTCATTCGTCGTCTATATCTTACAAGCAGAATAAGTCTACATGGATAGAAGAGATTCAACAAGACTTAAAGGTAAAAGTCTACACGGGCGGTAAGGAAGCAATACAAAATGAAGAACAAAGGTACATGACCATGTGCCCTAGATAGCAAATCATATAACACCTATTCTTCGAGGCTCTAAGCTTTGTAACATTAAGCAACAAACCATATAACTTATTTCATTAACCCATGTGGCCATGTAAGGCTGATACCTATATGATATAACTCTAGTCTTAGGTATAAATAGTAAAGTTAGGCCACTATCTATGGAAAACTCTCTTTGTAACACATTATGAGCAACTAAACTATATTCTTGGTTGAATCAAGTTGAAGCTTTTGATTGAATTGCCGTGATAAGGTTTATCTCTAACCTTATCTTGTTTGGGTATTTTCTACTTTTTTGTATAATTAGTTGATGGTTATGTAGTTAGATTAATTAGAATGCATGCTAATTATTTAATCATATTAAATTATTACTAGCTACGTATCCAAGAACATATAATTGATGTCTAAACTTGCATGTGGTAGTAACTAAGGTTGATGATTATTTTTCATATTTTTGTTCAATTCCTTGAAAAACTTAGAATTAGGTTATAACTTCTAGCACTTAGGAAGGAGGTCTAACTTAACTTGTCTTTCTCCGATTAAAGCTATGATTGGGTTAAATCTATCTAATACTTAATAGATTGTTTAATAGCTAAGAAATTAATCGGGTATCGTATATTTGATTAATGACTAATTAAGGAAAGACTAAGGGCAATATGTATGTTGCTTTCCTACTATGAATATTCATGTTTAGGATAAACTAATTATTTAACCAATGATCGGAGACCAAACGAAAGGTGGATACTGAAGTAAAACCAACATTTCTCTTAATATTGTTATTTCACTTTACTTTATCTACTTTCAAGCACTCTAAACACAAAGCCCCCCTTTCATACTCCAAGAACACTCTACCAAAAGAAACGATTGATTTAGCCTATTTCCTTGTGGATTCATCCCTTACTTTGTCTTTATTACACTATTATGATTAAAAGCTCTATAAAAATAATATAAAATTATAATTTATTGGTTGTACAACAAGCCATCAAACTCTCCTCGATAGTCCCCGCCTTATACGCCGGCATGATCGTACCTCCCACACTAGCCCCTCGCAACGCCAGCCCGGTAGCTTGTCCGACCTTGTGTGCTAGTAAACCTAACACACTAGGCAGCCCCTCTAGTGTGCCAAACAAACCTTCCGAGCATGCCGATCAACCTTCCCTTCATGTGCTAGCATGCTAGTTAGCCTCTCATTCACACGTCGGTATGCTAGCCGACCTCTCCCTCGTATCTCGGTCTTCCAATAGCAACCTCCTTCCTCTTGCTAGAAATCAAACAACTTTTCTCTAAAAAAAATTATTGTTTGATTGATTATGTTTGGTAAGAACAATATGAAGTTGTAGACTCATTTGTGTTAATTTTTGATAGAAAAAGAATAGCAACTACTCTGTTGTCAAATCTCCTTAAGTTGTAGCAATATTGGCAACTTTAGAAAGTTAGATGTTTATAGAGTTACTATAAGATTTACGAGTAACATTTGCAAGTTTGTAATAACTTTAATAACAATAAAAACTTTGACTATTTGTATTAACCTTAGAAGGATCTTTAGTAACCTTAGCAGAACCTAAATAATGTTTTGACAATAGATAGCTACCTTTTTTCCTCGACTAATTGAATAATCGGTTATCATCGAAGATGAAAAGAGTAGAACCGACCTTCAAATTAGATATTTAAACTGCATAACTTTTTTTGGTAAAACCTTTATAAATGATTGTACTCTTTTAAAATATGAATGAAATTTTTACATTTCATCTATATGTTCATCGTTTAATTTTTTTTTGAGTTGAATGTTGCTGTAATTGTCATTACGAATGAATGATTGCGATGTGACTAAATGTGTAATAGTCATAGCTAAGGTGTATTATCTAATTTGACTATTTTTCAAACTCATTTTATGCATGTTCCATTAGTCGGAAAACAAGCCATAGGTGACTTCCCACCTATATGGATGAAGCTACCGAGTGACCCCAAAATCATTTTTCTCCTAAAACTATTTATGAAAACAAAGCTATTTGTAACTTTTTACTTATGTGACAAAGACGCTAGTAATTTTGACATCATTATACGTGTGTTATATTTGTTTGAAAATCAATCATCAATGACTTTTCACTTATGTGAATGAAGTTGCTAATTGCTCTCAAACTAGTTGTATTTAGTTTTAACTTACTAAAATGAAGCTATCGGTGGCTTCCCACTTATGTGATGAAGTAGTTGGTGATTTTTAAATTATTTTATTTATTATTTTCTTATTTGAAACGAAGTTGTCGAGGGTTTCTCACTTATATGACAATGTTAGCAGTGGCTTCTAAACCGATTATATGCCCCTTGCTTGAGAAAAGTGAAGTTATCGATGGCTTTCCACTTATATGATGAAGTTATCGGTAAGTTTTTAAATCCATGAATCAAAATCGTTAACGACTTTCTACTTATATGAGCAAGGTTCTTGGTGACTCACTTCTCATGTTAATAAAAGACTATCAATTTTTAGAAACTTGCCTATTTATCGATATAGGTCATGTTTACTAAAGATTAGCTAAAATTTCATTATTTCTCACATTTATCGATCAAGTATGGGTATTGGCCTTAGACCAATTTGAACCTCCAGATCTGCTCTATTTTATATCCTAAACCCCTAAACTACTCTATTTTTACATCTTAACAAAATAAACTCATTTAAATAGGTATACAAATATGATGTTATATTTTTTTCATACGTAATCAATTCCTTACATCTTCACAAATCAATATGTTTAGGATTTCTTAGTTTTTCTTAAATTAGCTTGGTGGTGATTCCTATTTTTATATGTTCACCACGTGGGCCTTATTGACAATATGAGGACTCCACTAGGGACATGCCATGCTAAGGTCAAGCTTTGAATGTTTATGTTTATAAATCTCTAGTTGTTTGTTATGCCTCCCGATGAGTGCATAATTGGTATTACTTTTATGCTCTTTTCCATTAAAATTTGTAGTAGTGATTGTATTATATTTAACAAATTAAGATCAAGATAATGATTTTAGACTTTGTAGAAAAAATAGCAAATTGAAGCATAGAAGCCCAAGCTAAAGCAAGGAAAAGCCAAAATCACCAAGGAAGCCTAAGGAGACACATGGTCATATATCTTACAAGAAGAAATAGCTATTGGTTAAGTGAAACAAAGGAGAAAAGTATGTGGTTGTCTAACAATAATTCCATACGAGCGGTAGTTTTCCATATGACTAGAGCAAGAAAAATGATATGATCGTGTATGTGTCAAGGATAAGCTATCTTTTAAGAGAAAAGAAACAACATATAGATAGTAGAATTCCACATGGTATATGCTGAAGAGAGGCACACATGTGTGCATTGAAGCTAGAAGAAATCTAAAAGATGAAGCAACAAAGGCATACGGGCAAAATCCAAAGATGTGAGATGAAGTGTAAATTCCATAAAGGGTAAAAGTTAGGGACATAGGATGAAGTAAAAGGACATATGAGATGGAGAGTAAAAGGCGCATGATCATGTGCCTCTATCCAACAAACCATACAACACCGACTCTCTAAGGCTTCAAACCATGTAAGATAAAGTAGCAAATTATGGCCTTTTTCAAACAATCCATGTGGTCATGTGGGACCGATACGTGTGTATTATAACCTTAGTATTAGCTGTAAACGAGTGAGGTTGGGTTTTATTTCAAGATTCCCACTTTAGTAGCCATCCATAATTAGAAAACTCTCATGTAATTAACCATGAGTCACTAAACATCTATCTTGATTGAAGGAAAGTTGATGCTTTTGGTAAAATCTTTAGGAGATCTTAACGAGTTCTAATTATGAACTTATTCTTTTTAGTATTTTAGGTTCTTTTTTGTATTATTTGGTTATGATTATGTTATTAATTGATTAGAGTACATGCTAGTTATTGACCATCATAATCTATTACTAGCTAAGTATTTAAGTTCGTATAATTGCTTGTCTAAACTTGCATATGGGAGTAACTAAGGGTTAATGATTATGAATACATTTTTGTTTAATTCCTTAAAAACATAAAACTATATTATATTTTTTTAGTGTTTAGAAAGATGATTTAGCTTCACCTATCTTTCTTTATTTAGTGTTGTTATTGGATGAAATCTAGCTAGCATCTACTAGGTTATTTAATAGTTAGGGATTAATTAAATAACATCTCGTTTGGATAAAAAAATCAATACGTAAATATTACAAACAACATACATATTGTTGTCTTACGGTGAATATTCATGTTAAGAATAGGTTAATATTTAAATCAATAATCAACGATTAAACTAAAAGTTGCTACTAAACTTCAATCAAGATTTTTTCTTATTATTGTTGATTCTATTTACTTTTGATTGCTTATAAATCTCTATAAAAATAAACCCCTAATTTTATTCCCATTACACTTCAAAATAATCAACTGATAGAAATAATTGATTAGACCAATTTTCCTGTGAGCTTGACCTTTGTTTATCCTATTTACATTTTTGATGTTGGGTTTCATGAGGAAAAATATAAATCTAATTCATTAGCGGTATGACACGCCATCAAATTTTATCATTATTACTAGGGAGTATTATGCTCCAGTTAATTGTTTCTTGGGATTCGACTATTATTATTGTCACTATCATGTTAGTATATAACCATGTCTCGAACAAGTGACTTAATTTTCAACCCTAAACTAGAAAGAGTAGTTACTTGCTTTACTATGCATAACTATAGTTTTCAAATTTTTATCATCAAGTGATTGAGAAGGAAAAGTGATGGTCGTGAATAGGGTGAATAAAACTTTAAAAGAGCTTGCTGCTCCTAATGTTAATCAATAGCCCTTATGTATAGAATTCTCAAATCTTAAGTTACATTTAAGTTAAAGTCGAGACCGATATATAGCTGCCTATATTCTCGGGCCTTATTAGAGAAGAGCCTCATAAAAATTTAAAAGAATTTCATATGGTTTGTTCAACTATGAGATTACAAGGAATATCGGAAGAATAAATTAAACTGCATGCATTTCCATTCTCACTTAGATGTGGATGTAAAAGACTAGTCTGTATGATTTTTACGTGGGATCAATTGACTCATGGAACGGGATGAAAGAAGCCCTTTTATTGAAATATTTCTTGTATCAAGAGCGAGTTAATATAAGGAGATTTTTATGATCAAATAATTTAATGGAGAGACATTTTACAAGTACCGAGAGCGACTCGAAGTTATGTGCTAGCTTCCCACACTATTAGATCTTTGACTAGTTATTGATGGTATATATCTATGAAGGTTTACTACCTATGGAGAGGAGCATAATAGATGTCTGCTAGTAGAGAAGCACCAATAGACAAGACTTATGATGCTACAAGAGCATTGATATATAATATGGCAATAAATTCGAGTAATTTTATACGAGGTTTGATCATATACCAAAAAAGGTAAATGAAGTCAACATACCTAACTTAAAGTAGTAAATGTCGGACATGACTTCGTTGGTAAGACAAATGGCCATGGAAAACCTACAAATTGTGAAAGCTTATAGAATTTATTCAATTACAAGTCATGCCATTATTCAATTATAGGTCACACCACTAGTGTATGGCCAACACTCCAAGAACGGCTCACTAAATAGGTTTATGTCATTAAAAATTTTTATGGTGGTCAATCAAGGCCCTATGACCCATTTTTTAACACCTATAATCTGGGTTGGAGAGATCACTCAAATCTAAGTTATGGAGGTAACCACCAAGGAGGGTAAAACTTCTATTAGTAAGGCAATATGGCTATTAACCCAAGCCTTATCAACAACATACCCTTCCAAAACTCGGATCGAGTCATTGGAAGAAATAGTGAAGTTTCTTGCATTAAACGCAAAGCAATTCCAATAAGAGATGAGGTCAAGCATTTAACACTTGGGAAACCGGATGAGTCAAATGGCGACCACTATAAGTCATTGAGAGGCTCTATCTAAAGGAAATTACCATCCCAAATGGTGGTAAACCCAAAGGAAAATACGAGTGTTATGACATTGAGAAATGATGCTCTAATAGAGAAACTAAGCAAAGAAATATACGAGACAGTTGAGGAAGAAAGGTTAGAGTTGAAAATAGAAAAAGAAAACACAAAAATTGATGAGACTACATCGAGTCTTAAGATAAATTCTGTCTCTTATATTCTATTTTCAACTAACCATGCATCTTTTTCTAGCGAGTTAGAAAAGCCTAAAAAGAAAAAGATGAAGAAAGAAAAGGATATGGAGATTCTTAAGCTATTCAATAAGATTAA